TAGGGACTTTTTCTATGACTGGTTACACCATGCATTTGCCCCCAATGTGAAAAATTACCCAACTGAAAAGAAATTAGACCTTAAGTGCCTCCTGGTATTAGACAATGCCCCTTGTCATCCTGCAGACTTGGCAGAGTGACTTTCTGGGGACATGACCTTCATTAAGGTCAAGTTTTTGCCTCCTAATACCACTCCTCTCCTGCAGCCCATGGACCAGCAGGTCATTTCCAACTTCAAGAAACTGTACACACAAGCTATGTTTCAAAAGTGCTTTGAAGTGACCACAGACACTCGATTGACTCTAAAAGAGTTTTGGAAGGATCACTTTCATATCCTCAATTGTGTAAACCTTACAGGTAAGGCTTGGGAGGGAGTGACTAAGAGGACCTTGAACTCTGCTTGGAAGAAACTGTGGCCAGAATGTGTAGACAAAAGGGATTTTGAAGGGTTTGAGGCTAACCCTGGGAATTGTATGTCAGTTGAGGAATCCATTGTGGCACTGCGGAAGTTCTTGAGGTTGGAGGTTACTGGGGAGGATGTGGAAGAGTTGGTGGAGGAGGACAATGAAGAACTAACCATTGATGAGCTGCTAGATCATCTTCAACAGCAAGAGGCCAGACCTGAGGAAACTGCTTTGGAGGAGGGGAGAGAGAAATTGAACAATTTGCCTACTTCAAAGATTAAAGAAATGTGTACAATGTGGAAAAAGGTGCAAACCGTTATGGAAAAAATCACCCTGACACAGCTATTGCAAGCCGTGCTGGTGACTGTTACAATGACAATGTTGTGAACCACTTTAGACAAATCATAAAGGAACGAGAGGTACAGAGCTCTATGGACAGATATGTTGTGCGACAGAAGTCCATTGACTCTCAAGCTGGTCCTAGTGGCATTAAAAGAAGAAGGGAAGTAACCCCGGAGAAGTACTTGCTACCTCAAGTCCTAATGGAAGGGGATTTCCCTTCTAAACAATAACTTCGACACTCTCCCCTCCTCCCATCCCATCTATCATCACCAGATCTTCATTAAAGGTAAGTGTCATGTATTCTATTATTAGTAGAGTACTACTAACTGTACATGTCTTCTTCAGTTTGTGTGCATTAAACTTAATATTTCATGTGGTAAAACTTTTTTTCATACTTTTGGGCATCTTGCACGGATTAATCTGATTTCCATTATTTCTTATGGGGAAAATTAATTTGCCTTACAATAATTTCGGCATACGATAAGCTCTCAGGAATGGATTAATATCGTATGCCGGGAGTCCACTGTTTAGTGCCAGATGCCCCTCCCTTATGCAAATGCTCTGCAAAAATGGCAGAAAAACGGTAAAAGCACCAAGCATAATGAACAATGGCTCAAATGAAAGCCAAGAAAAAGTGCAGGACTGAAAAGATGGAGCCAAATACATGGGGCCCTCCTGTATTTCTTCACAAGTACTGAAAGATACTACAGCTAGAATGGGCTCCATGAGGAAAGTGCACCAGACCAAATGAACATTAGATCTACCAAATGAACATTAGATCTATCATAATTACAAACAGGCAAGTACAGATAGGTAGTCATGCATTTACACAGTATTTATTCATTGAATTAAAGTTTTAAGTTTTGTTTTTTAAGAGAATTATACCAAATTACACAAAATAGGATAATTCTGAAGCTTGATAAATATAAACTAAAACATTAAGAAATAAATAAAATAGAAAAACTATCAAAAGCTAGTACAGTATATGGTATCAACAAGCTCTGGATAAAGACATAGGAAACACCTGTAACATTTTATTATGGATACATTTATTTGAAGTGAACAAAGTTCCAGGACTGAAATAGTTCCGTAAGAAAATGTCCTGAGTGCGCTCTCGTGTGTTTTTATCCACCCGAGAAAACAAACCATTCTGCAGTAGTTTTAACCCTCTGACTGTCGGTGTCGTACATATATGTCTTATGAGCCAGTGTTTTTGATGTACATACAGTAGATCCTTGAATTTCATCATCCCTTTTCTGTATGTAAAACTATACAGTAGGGCCCCACTTTATGGTGTTTCGCCTTATGGCATTCTGCTAATACGGTGATTTTAAATTATGACCAAAATTTGCTATATGGCAAGCGGTCTTTCAAACACAGCGTGCCCCACCCAGTTTGTTTACATTCTCCATGAGCACATTTATTATGTCTGGAAACTTTCCAAAATTTCAAGTACACCTACCATCCGACTTACGACTGAGTTTGGTTCCGAGAAACCGGTCGTAAGTCGAAATGGTCGTAAGTCGAACTTTACTACTGAATATCAACAAAACATTTTTGTAATGACTATTTTATTGTTTTATTTTGGTATTTCATGTTTTACTTTATTTTTTATACTGTAAGTACTGTATTTTATACTGTAAGGTTTAGGATAAACACTGTGTACAACACAAATAGTTGTTTATTTCCCAGAAATTTGGCATAAAAAACACGGTCGTAAGTCGAGTGGTCGTAAGTCGAGCAGGTCGTAAGTCGGATGGTAGGTGTGTTTTAAAGTTATTGCATATTTTATACGTACTGTACTTTGATAATTATGCTTATGTGTACCTGTACCTAAATATACTTACACACTGTGCTGGCGTGCAGGCACACATTAAAATCACTAAGTCTCTATCTACTCATGACACCATAGTAATATTACATAATAATAATTTCTCATGGGCACATTAAATGTCTTATTTTACATTAATATAGACATATTCATTAATCCATACACCCACAGAATAAAAATTGACATAAATATGAGATTTGTTTACAAAGCGGCTTTGTAGGAGTGTCGGAAGAATTACGTTTTCTCTAGTCAAACAATGGGGGTTAACTGTAGATAAATATTCCTTTCATGTGCCTTCACTTTATATATAGCAATTTATGACCCTTGTGGGTTTACTGCTTCTTTTTTATTATGATTATAATAATAAGTTGTAATAATAATAACTTTAATAACTTGTAATAATAATTTGTAATAATAATAATTTGTAATAATAATAATTTGCAATAATAATAATTTGTAATAATAATAATAATAGTAATAATTTGTCAGAGCATCATTCCTTCTAAAAACTACACGAGAATGGAAGTGTTGGTCTTTATTTATTCTACTGTACCACTGTGGAGGCAACTTGTACACAATGTAAGGCGTTTGTATGAATGTTTATGAGCCATAACCAGACACATCGTCTGTTTGTTTACATAGTGGGTGGGATGGCCAGGCTGGCATCCCTACACTACCCTACCTACCACACGACTTTCTACAAATAAATACTTTTCACCTTTCACCCTACATTAAGACTACATATATTTTAAGGTAAATAATGAGTGTACTGTATATGAATTTTCACTCTATAGAGCTTTAAGCATCGTCATAGTATATTATGTGTGGGGGGGGGGCCAGGAGGGCTACCACACCTAACTTCTTACAGTAAATACTACTCACCTTTTGCCCTACATTAAGACTACAAATATTTTGAGGTAAATAATGAGTGTACTGTGTGTGTATTTTACTTTTTATTGTTTTTTAATGCCTAGTTCTATTGCTAACTTAATATATGTTAGTGTAAACTTGTTATCTGGCATTTATATGCATATATAAGTGGAAAAAAGTGACGTTCTGTTTTCCGGCGATGTCTGCTTTCCGGCAGTAGCCTAGAACCTAACTTGCTTTATAAGTGGGGCCCTACTGTAGTTATTCTCTGTAAATGTATATTTTGTTAATATTTTTATATTTTGGGTGTCTGGAATGGATTAATTGGATTTACATTATTTCTTATGGGAAATATTAACAAAAAATACATTTTATAGAGAATAACTATAGTTTTACGTACAAAAAAGGGATGATGAAATTCGAAGGTCCACCGTATTAATACGCCAAAATTCTAGCGGCTTCAAATTAAGTGGGAGAAAACTGGTAGGCCCACATGTGAGAGAATGGGTCTGTGTGGTCAGTGTCTGCAGTATAAAAAAAAATCCTGCAGCACACAGTGCATGAGAAAAAAAAAAAAGACCGTGTTTTTGGATTAAAACGCCAACTTTGAGGTGTATTTTTGTATAGTATTCATGATTATATTCTCGTTTTCTTGGTCTCATTTGACAGAACAGAAGACATATTACAGAAATAGAGATGATTTTGACTGGTTTCACCATGAAAAGAACCTTGAAATTGAGCTCAAAGTAGCAGAAATGTTCGATTTTTGCCGATGTTCAAGAGTAAACAAATGACATCACCGTCCAATAAGTGTCCAACTAGCCATTCTAATATGCAGTCATAAATGGGTTGACATTATTTATACAATTATTACAATAATGCAGTAGTCTGCATAACAGTAAATCTATTTTTTGTCTGAATAAAAATTCAAAATAGAAAGCAAGAGTAATATAAGAGGGGCTTGGAGTCATGACTAATGAACAGAGAAAATGTTATTTTAGTGCCAGAAATGTCTGCAATGTTTATTCTGGACCCTATTTTGAAATTGGCATCTTTCTTAATTTGTGTGAAATTGGCCAAATTGCTAATTTCTGACCTCTTTATTGGGTAGTTGAAATTGGTAAATGGACGGTTTCTTGTACTCAGTTGATAGAACAAATGGAGTTCTAAAGAAGTAGCTATGAGTTTGGTCGACTGGAACAATGAAATTGGCTGAAAATAGGGCTCAAAGTGGGCGAAATCGCCGATGCATATATATCGCCAAGATCGCTAACTTCGCAAGAGCATAATTCCATAAGTTTTCCATCAAATTTTGTACTTTTGGCATCATTACTATCAGGAAAAGATTGTCTATCATTTCATAAGAAAAAAAGTTTTTTTTTTTTAATATTTTGCAACACAGAGAGACACTTCAGGAGTTGGGGTCTCGACAGTCAAAGGGTTAAAATGCAAATACATGTATACAATTTATATATGAGATCATTCCATTAAAAAGTCATGAGAGTTTATTTAAACAATTAATAAACCAATATGCAAAAGTATGTTTCAATTTACCTGCTGAGAGGGAGCCAGAGTTCCAAGTATACTGTTAGTAAGGAGGGAGCGCTCCAGAGAAGAGTTATGCGAGGCATTCAGATCCTGCAGTATATATTAGTAGTACACAATTAGTAGTTATAAGAGTAGAAGCATGTGTCAAACAATTATTGTACTATACCACATTTATCAAACAGAATCCAAAGAGTTAATTTCTACAGAAACTGAGAAGTTAAAGGTAAAGAGTGCATTAGTAATTATGTAATTCACAGACAAAATTTCATGCTATTTTTAAAAATTAGCACCAGTAAAAAAAAAATTAAAATATATAAACTAATGGTGATATTAAAGGAGTAATACCAAAATGAATACCGAGACAAAACTTTAGCAGCATACAGCAACTGGACATGTACTGTAGGGAAGTCTCTCTAAATAGAACTCAATGGCTTGGTACTTACACAAGATTATGTAAGTAAAACAATGGCTCAAAAAGCATACTTGCAAAATTTTGCTTCTCTGGCAGATTTATATTGCATTTAGCTAGCATCCAGTATGCATAGTTAAGATGACTGGTAACTCACTAATTTAGTGCCTTGCAGTAATTTTTAAATATTCATTATCACCCATAAACCATTATTTTATGTTAGGAGCCAGAAAATCTAGGCAAAAGAAAGTTAAATAATGATAAATTCCAAATTTTGCTTAAATAATTAGGCAATAAAAGGCTGTCATAAAAAATGCAGTCATATCTTTTAAAAATAATAGTTATATAAGCAAGTAGCTGACCAAATATAGTCAGGGCCTGACCTACAAAATGCATTACTTGTGTAAGGAATAATCTGGCTTCATTAATTAGTGCTTCACCAGAGATGACAATATTATTAAAGCAACTCTCATCAGGGTAAAACACACATCCTGTGAGCAAAATATGATGATGTTCATTAATATTAGTATTGATATTTTAATTGGTCGAGCTGATTTTTTTTTTAATAAACCGGCCATATCCCACCGAGGCAGGGTGGCCCAAAAAGAAAAACGAAAGTTTCTCTTTTTAAATTTAGTAATTTATACAGGAGAAGGGGTTACTAGCCCTTTGCTCCCAGCATTTTAGTCGCCTCCCACAACACGCATGGCTTACGGAGGAAGAATTCTGTTCCACTTCCCCATGGAGATAAGAGGAAATAAACAAGAACAAGAACTAGAAAGGAAATAGAAGAAAACCCAGAGAGGTGTGTATATGTATGCTTGTACATGTATGTGTAGTGTAACCTAAGTGTAAGTAGAAGCAGCAAGATGTACCTAAAATCTTGCATGTTTATGAGACAGAAAAAAGGACACTAGCAATCCTACCATCATGTAAAACAATTACAGGTTTTCGTTTCACACTCACTTGGCAGGATGGTAGTACCTCCCTGGGTGGTTGCTGTCTACCAACCTACTACCTAGTGAATTGATACTGCCACCATGAAATACTAATGTAAATAGCTATACTTTCTCGACCCTTCATATAGGTTAAAGGTTGTGTGCTCAACTATGATCTACCTCACATCGTCATAATAGACAATTTTATTGCATTCCATGTACTATACCATTTTATTTCATTTATTTATTTTTTAATTCATCTGCCTTTTCCTATCTAGGCAGGGTGACCTACAGAATAACACACTCTTCATCAATGATTCTTGACGCTTTTCAAAAAAGGGTGCACATATCACTGTCCAATATTAATCAACTGAGCTAAAGCCTCCGATCATACTCTCCCCCAAAATTCAAATTTGACAAAACTGGTTTCTCCAAGTCACTTTGCAAATGTTACTTTGCCCACACTCCAATAATATTTTAAATCCCATACAACAGTTGCTTCCACTTACTCCCATTTAACATATCTGAACTACCTCTCAACACCTTATTCACAGCCTCCCCCTTACACCACAATACACCCACTCCTGATTTATACACCCTCACCCTCTTTACTAGGCTAACATGGTCCATTCTTTCTGGACGATCAGACTCTTTCAACAGCTCTTCTGGTCTCTGAATTACAGTGGACCCCCGCATAACGATTACCTCCGAATGCGACCAATTATGTAAGTGTATTTATGTAAGTGCGTTTGTACGTGTATGTTTGGGGGTCTGAAATGGACTAATCTACTTCACAATATTTCTTATGGGAACAAATTCGGTCAGTACTGGCACCTGAACATACTTCTGGAGTGAAAAAATATCATTAACCGGGGGTCCACTGTATATCTTTCATACTACATTATTCTAATTTTATCACTTCTTATTCTGTAGTTAACATTCACACCACACATGTACCTCAGACAAGGTATTTGCATTCTCCCTAGTCTCCTCCTTGCTGCAACAATAACAAAATCTTGCTTCTCACCTACACAAGTGTGGGCATCATTATACCTTGATACATTCAAATTTCTTCACTGACAGATTTCTTTCCATCCACAAATTCCAACTCTTCTCTTCTGTGAGTTTACCCATCCTTCATAGAATTATCTGCAGAGACATCTACATCCAAGTATCCAAACACATGCATTTTCTTTAATCTCCTTCCTACTCTTTCACTCTCCACATTCACTCCTCACACACACTTTCACTCCCCAAACATGCTCATACCATTCTGAAGTCTGCCAAAAGTATTGTGATGTCTGCAAACAGCAACTGTGACAGCTCCCACTTACAATTAACTTCATTATCTTTTTGGCAAGGCCAGACTTTGATATTCTGAAGCCCTAAGTTATATCAAGTTTAAGAGGCCCCAAAATTCAAAAAATCAAAATAGGTAATACACATTAGGACCATCTCTTCCAGCCAACCCAACAGCATTCATTTATATTACAATCTATTTTACTGAGGTTTTGATTATTATTACTGTAATCATAACTAAGCACTAAATCCAGAAGGGGCTCAGGCTTTGAACGTGACATCACAGGTTATTTGTTGACTGCATTGGATGTGAAGCTGCATTGACAACCAAGTAAACATTTAGTGCATTTTGCGAGATTTCTCTCATCTTTTCAAGCATCTATGATGGTTATTACCTGTGCTGTTTGGTGTAATAAATGGCAAGATGGTAAATTAAATCTAATATTCTACACGTTCCCTAATGGTTTTGAAAGATAAAAATGAAAGATTTCTTGAAATGCTAGGAGTCAACAGAAAGAATCCCTCCTAGGAAGATGCCTTAATTATGAAGAGATCTTGATCCAAGGATTTTATCAAGTACTCAATAAAGACTTTTAGGTGAAATGTCACAATTAATAAGCCTGCTTTTGATATAGTTTTTTTTTTTTTTTTTTTTGAATCAAAACTTTTGCAGGCTGTCACATCCTTTGCAGGGTAGGGAGATATTGTTCACTACATGGTAATGCAACTCATTAGTCTGTCATGTAACTTATCAATACAAGTTCATACAGAGTCACATCCAACATGGCTGACTTGTATAAATCAGCTGACTTTAGCCACATGATATCCGAACCTCAACACGCACACAATACAGACGTGGAGACATCCTACATCCTTCTCTAAATCCCACTCTCACTGAAAACAATTCCGTTTGTTTTCTATACATACACACTAATATGTATAGTCCTTCTTTTACAAAATCTTTACAATTATCAGCAACTAGCTTTCCTGCACATTTGCAACATTTCTTCCTAATTTACTGTCTTAATTTTATTTTTCAAAAGCTATGAATGCTGTACAACAAAGTAGTTCCTTCCCTACATATATATTCCATGTCCTTTAAGAGCACATTAAGCAATGTTAGCTGAAAAAGAAAGAAACATCTAGAAAAGGTTAGGGTGTAATTTTATTTGCCAACATTTCTGAATACACATCAACAAAATAACGTAATCCCCAAATGTGAATGAACAAGGATAATCGTACACAGTAACCTCTATTATACACTGTGATTATCTGCAGCTGCAACTCAAAACGTGCATCCACAATTGATTAGTGTGTACTATGAAGTCCTTTTCATGTGCTATTAAATTCTGGATGCATTTTACAAATGCATTCACAAAAAAATGCACTACATATAGGAGCTTTTTAAGAGAGCTCACTGTGCTGTATTGTACTGTGCAGAAATCCTTCAAAGTTTATGACTTCCAAATTTATGAATTTCAATAATCTGCAGAATTTTCTTATGAATATCCCATAAAAAATTAAACCTTCATAGGTGTCTGAGGTCATTCACCTGTATTCTGTCCAGAGCAAAAGACTCAGACATATGACATGATGATAATGATTTGTCAAGGAAAATATATCCCAGTGCTTTGTCTTAGCCATATAACGTTCCACCAGTGACTAAGCAACTGCTGGTGTACCAGCGCTCACCTTCCATCCCATTTAAAAATGAAGAACAGGTGGTAAACTATCATTATTCTATTTTATTCATCACATGCACTTACTGGAAATTTTTTGCATGTGGTCACCAGGTGCATGTGGCATTGAGTACTGTACATGAGAATGTTCATATATGTATACAGCATGTTTGTCCTCCAATTATTATTATTATCCATATGGTTAATATTTTATCTGGATCTACAAAAGGTTGGGCTAGTTCCTCTTTTAACAAATCAGCCATATCCCACCGAGGCAGGGTGGCCCAAAAAGAAGAACAAACGTTTCTCTTCATAACTTTAAAAAGGTATACAGGAAAAGGGGTTTGGGCTATGGTTGTATTCGATTAAATTTACCTGGGTTATGACAATCCTGAATTTTGAAAAAAAAAAAAAAAAAAAAATGACATTAAAACTTCCAACTTATCACTCAGACTGCTATAAAATTTTGAATTTAAGATAAATTAATAGTACTAAGTAATAGAGCAGTCTTAAAAGAAATTCGCAGTAAAATTTAATGATAATTTTAGCAAATAATCATTTTTCTATAAGCATCCTTAAGTGTAAAACAAAGAACATAAGATCAGCTACACTAATTCATATGACTAATATGCAAACCTGGTATATATTACAGGTTAGCTTGTCTATACTCAACAGTATAAAATTCTTCTAAGAATCCCAATTTAATTTCTAATACGTATGCATACCTGTATTCATCCAAATCTTATCAAAATATTTACAACAGCA